AGAAGATGCTGGACATAACGTAGGGAGTGTTGATGCACAACTTAAAATGATGCAGACAGCTTTTAACAACTTGGAAATACCACAAAAGGAGAAAGTGTGGACATCCCTCTTCAAGGATAATCGAGACCCTTCAAATGGCCTCAAATTGAGGTATGTCCCGCCGAAAGGCAAATCCTTAGACATTGGGGATATAATATTGCCCTCTATGGTTGAGATGTAGGGTTTTTGTCTCATTGGATGCATTACTAGAAAATTTCCTGGCCTTAAGGCTAAATATGACTTGAAGAATACTTGGGGTGTTAGTTCCCTTGTTAAAACCCATGCCAAGGGGTTGGTTATTTTTAAATTCTAAAATGATGAAGATAGAGAAAAAGTGTTGAATAGGGGTCCCTATACCATTTTTTGAATGCAACTCATGCTAAAATCACTTTCTGGAGACTTTTCTTCTGATGATGATGAATTTCTTAAAGTCCCCCTTTGGGTAAAATTTCCCAATCTACACATGAAACTATAGAATGAGGAGGTTATGAGTGAGGTGGCTTCTATGGTAGGGATCCCGTTAGCTACGAACAAAATCATTCAAGAGAGAAGCAATCATCTCTTTGCTAGAGTTTTGATTGAAGTTGATGTTTCTTAACCACCTCTGCTTTCATTTCCTATACGACTACCTTCCCGCAAAGTAGTCACACAATCTATGGTCTATGAAACTTTTCCCAACTTTTGCTTCCATTGCAAAGTATATGAGCATCACCCCTTTATTTGCAAGAAATTGGCAACAAAAGAGCGAGATAAGATTGGGGCTGAAAAGGGGGAGAAAATGAGTGAGGGCATTGAGAAGGTTCCCAAGGACAAAGAAAAAGAAAATGCTAAAGTGGGAATCATAGAGGTGTTGGGAAAATGTGTTAAAAAATTGCATGAAATGGTCATTTCGGGGCAATTATTTGAGTGAGGTCCACTTCCGATTTGGGTCGGGTCTAAGTCGTTTCGGATAGTCCTTGTTAAGGGCTACAATTCGATATATGGTACGCTCAAAACGGATAACGGGTGAATGAGAAATTGATTCTCGAAGTTCACTCGTTGAAATGGAAAACTGGGAAAATGATGAGTTTCTAGATTTATACCACACCGGAAAACTCAAGGTATTTTCACTCCCTTATAAAGGGAAGCCTCTTTTAAGGAGTTAAGATTCCTAAAGGTAAAGACTCTCTCTTGCGCATAGGGGGCTGCCGATCAAATCATGAAAATGGAGAAGAAAAACCACGACTTATGTGCGTGGGCGACCTGCGGACACGAATGTCGTCCAAAAAATCTATCATTCAAAGATACGATTTAATTTTTGTTTCTTCCCGTAAACATTCCTTTATTTTTTCTAGGCTGGCAGAATCGCTTCGTTTCTGTCCAGACCAGAAGAGGGTTCTGTTCTCAACAGAACCGCTCCGCTTCTGTTCGGTTCAATAGAAACCCTTGAGGTATTCTGTCCGCAACAGAAGAGCTCAACAGAAACCCTCGAGGTCTTCTGGTCGCAACATAAAGCTTGAGGTATTCTGGTCGCAATAGAAGGGCTCGAGGTCTTCTGGTCCGTTACAGCAATAAATGCCCAACATTCTTCTCTTTTAATGCTGCGTTAAATGGACAGTTTATGGACGATTCAATGCCTAACGGACTGGTCATTGATGTCCAACGTTCAGGTCCATTAACACTACATTTAACACACAACAAATTCTCCTATAAATAGCTGGCAGGTGCTTTGCAACAAACACACGGTTTTACACGTTCACAAGCAACCATACACACATTTTAGCTCTGAAAAACACCTACAGCTCTCCGAAAAATTCCTAAGTGTTTCTCCTATGTTCCCGTTCACCGGAACTCTCGTTTGTGTGCTTAAACGTTAGTTCGTTAGCCACTGTATCCTGGGAAACGGTCGTTGCAATGCTCCTAGCACCGTGGGAGGTGACGAATACGTTTTAAGGACATCGTGCGTAGCACGAGCTCTGGCTAAACTCTGTCCCAACTCTTTTTCTGTTTTTCTTTGGCTATTTAATTAATAAATTGGTTTTATTAATTACTATTTCTTCGTTTTTCCGAGACACACCCAACAAGAGGAAGAGAAAAGGATTGAGAAGAAGGAAGTGCCTCGGGCTGATTTGGCGGCCGTCACTATTGAGATGACACCACATGCCACAGCGGTAACCTCACCGGTAATGGAGGTCTTGGATACCATTCCGAAGACCACATCAGGTGAAACTAAAGATGATGAATCTGACCCGGAAGGCTCACTTATGAGTGATGACGAAGAGCTTATTCTTGAAGAGTATTGGGAAAAAATCAAACAGCTAAGAAGGATGAAAAAAGAGAAATAAGAGAAAATAATTGCAGCTGCTCCAATGGATCTTGGCTAAACGTTGTTGTGTTATGATTTAGCATTTTGTTTTATTTATTTATTGTACTTGATTTACGGAAGTAGTTGATTCATTGATGTTTTGGTGATTATGGGATATAACCCATTATGTTTGTGATGCATTGTATTTAGGTTAGATTTGTCTAACTTAGATAGTCTTTCTTCTTATCTGGTTTGATGCATTGTATTGTATTATTTTTGGGTGGTTTTCAATATATTTACATTTCATCCAACAAAAAATTGAGTAGGACTTTGAGATCAAGAAGGGAATTTGGGGTCACTGGCCGTGGTCCTCAAATCCATAAAGTGTGGCTATGTGGGTGATAATCCTCCTACCATAATTTTCCCTCCGCTAAGTCTCACATTTTTTAGGTGGCTCTATAAGATTGAGGTTACATCAAATTGATCAGCCCCCAGAAAAATAGCTTGTGGCAAGAGACATACATCCCAAATTCTGGTGTGGTACGTGGTTATTCGGTCTTCTGAAAAAGCAATTGGCTAGAAATTTCAAGAAAATTCGGAAGATCGAATATTGTACATGGTTCACATTTAATTTGGAACTATCGACGTCAAGACGTTCGGTCATTCTTTTCCGCAATTCATAGTCCACTGAGGACTCATAAACTATTTTTTCTTCAAATAAAGGCAAACCAAAATGTTCTGCAAATTCTCATTTAATGAAGGAGCGGTCCTCATTGAGCAATCAAAAAGTCCACTTATCAGTTATCATTGGTATGATCATTTTCGTCTATTGAGTAATCAACAGAACTATAGAACTCATACACTAAATGAGGATATGTCACATATTGCATTTCAAAAATCTTTATCATGTCAGGTCTTGTGAAAATACCATGCATCACAACTTCAATTCAAAACATAGATAAAGTAGTAATGCACATGAATCAGGATTGTTTTGCCTCCCGTGCGGATTGCTCAACAAAACGGGTGTGTTGCTCGTTCGTAGCAAACTCGACCTCCTCGAAGCCTAGCACTATGAGCCCTAAAAGATGAACCGTTTTACCACTTTTGTGCCATTTGTGTTAACTTTGAGGATTTTGTGGTATATTGGGGGATTTTCGAACTCGGGTTGGGTTGGGTTAGAGTTTTGTGTTTTGGGAGTTTTGAGTGGGATTTGTGGGGTGTAGGGTGATAGAGAATGTTGAGGAGATGAAGAAAATGGTTTAATTTGTGGATTTGGTGGAGGAATGGGGAAGATTTTGAGGTTGAAAGGTTTTGGCTACGGAGGATTTTAAGGGGAGGTTCGAATTTTGGGGAAGAAAATGGAGAGGGTGGGTTGTCACTCGACCTTGTATACCTTTGAAATCCGTATACCCGACCAGGTATAATCATTTACCCGATCGGACTTGATAGAAAAAAAAAAGTAAACACCAAAATCTGATCTAATTTAATCGAACCTCTTCAATTAAAAAACCATCCTTCATTTACATGAATTGTTGTTGCTATGTGCATCCAATATGATCTTCTCTTAAGAAAAACTCATATTCCGTATATAAACAAAAATGTTTAAATATGTTTTTAGTCATTGTAAATATAATAGGTTTATTTTAGTTCTTTTAAAATTACTTTTTTTGTTTTTCATCTCTGGAATTTTGTTTGTTTTTTCTTTAGTCCATCACCAATGATAATAACCTCCGTTGGACAATGAAACAACCTCGACTAATAGGTTTGCTCTAATTCTTTGTCATTTTATTCACAAAATACTTGATCTTATTTTATAGAAGGTTTTTAATACATATTGTAAATGTGTGAACAATTAGTTTTACATTGTTTTAACTACGGAGTATAATATTAGGCTCAAAAAAATTATAAAAGATTAAATTGAAAAGATTTTAGTAGATTCATGCAACTAGATATAATTTTTTTTCTAAATAGAGTGATTTCAGAGTTAAAAATAGACTAAAACAAAAGTAATGAATATTATATGATGAAAACCAAAAAATATTTTGGAGGGACTCAAAACAAAGTATCAGGACTTATTTTGTTCTTAGATCAGATCAAACCAGACCTAACCTAAACAAATTAAACTAGATCAGACCATACTTTCACAGATTAGACTAGACTTTGACGTATATTTAATACACAAAGACCTTACATATTATAGAATAGAACAGATCAGTACAGATTAGACCAGAACATATCAAACTTAAACAGGCAAATCCAGATCGTATCAGAACAGACCAGAATATTTTGATCTAAATAAAAATATGCTAAAAACATACTCCTTATTTAAACCTAAACGAAATTAACGTCGTATGGAGTACATAATAAAATACTCCTTCCGGTTCTCAAAGAGCTTCACAGTTTGACTTCGCACAAATTAAGAAAATAAATTTGACTTTATTGTGGAGTGCACTGTTTGGCACTGTTTGGACACTGTTTGGCCATGTTTGACACTATTTTGCACTGTTTTGTGTAAATAATTTGCCAAATAAGAAAAGTGAAAGAAGTGTGAAGTTAATTTAGTGATTTTCCAAAAAGGAAATTAAACACGATAAATTAAAAAGAAGTGTCAAGTTAATTTGGGAAGTTGGTTGAGAAAAGAGTATAAATTAAACGGTCCAGAAGATTCGTCCGCCTCATTGAAATCGAAATCAAGTGGAAGATATTTCTCGAACCAACTGGAAGACGTCTTCATACCTCCTCCGAAACATGCTTGCAGAATGTACTCGAATTCAATGGAGCACTCTGGAAATCCGAGTTTCTCCTTTAATATATCTCCTCAGACCTCTGTGCCTTCCCATCCTTACGCATACAACATCTCGACCAGCAAAATTTTCGTCAATTTCTCCCAAAGCTCTCTTTCAAGTTTCACTTTTGGTTTCAAAGAGTTGTTTTCGAACTTTGTCTTTTGGTTTTCGCAATTTGTTTTGACTATCGAGGGAAAAGGCAGTTATGGCCGGAAAAGGTGAAGGTCCAGCGATCGGAATCGACCTGGGGACGACGTACTCTTGCGTCGGAGTGTGGCAGCACGACCGCGTGGAGATTATAGCCAATGATCAGGGAAACAGAACGACTCCGTCCTACGTCGCGTTTACGGACACTGAACGTCTTATTGGGGACGCTGCAAAGAATCAAGTCGCGATGAACCCTATTAACACAGTGTTTGGTGCGTTTCTCATGCTCTTTACTTTTTGGTATTTGTCTTTTTCAGCATTACAGAAAATTACACCCGTATAGCTCATGTGTACATTTTTTTAGGGCTTTTGGACTTTTAGTCTATTTGTTGGAATAAGTTGCAATGATATAGATGAAGTTTTGAATCTTCAATTCTTCATATCCCTGATCCGTTAAGTTAATGCTTGGGATAAAACAACTGTGTTGTGTTTTAAATGATTCCGTATATATTTATTTCTGGATTGGTTCTGATTGTGCATTGAAATATTTGTTGTTGGGATTTATTCAGATGCAAAGCGATTGATTGGGAGGAGATTCTCTGATCCTTCGGTACAGAGTGACATGAAGTTATGGCCATTCAAGGTGATCCCAGGTTCGGGTGACAAGCCAATGATAGTTGTCACATACAAGGGCGAGGAAAAACAGTTCTCAGCGGAGGAAATCTCTTCAATGGTTCTAACAAAGATGAAGGAGATTGCAGAGGCCTATCTTGGAACCACAATCAAGAATGTCGTGGTCACTGTCCCTGCTTACTTCAATGACTCCCAACGACAGGCCACTAAGGATGCTGGAGTCATCTCTGGACTCAATGTCATGCGTATAATTAATGAACCTACCGCAGCTGCAATTGCATATGGGTTGGACAAGAAAGCAAGCAGCTCTGGAGAGAAGAACGTGCTCATCTTTGACCTCGGTGGTGGCACTTTTGATGTTTCTCTTCTTACGATAGAAGAGGGAATCTTCGAGGTTAAAGCCACTGCAGGTGACACTCATTTGGGAGGTGAAGATTTTGATAACAGAATGGTGAACCACTTTGTTCAGGAATTCAAGAGGAAGCACAAGAAGGATCTCAGTGGGAACCCTAGGGCATTGAGGCGGCTAAGGACATCCTGTGAGAGGGCAAAGAGGACTTTGTCATCCACTGCTCAGACCACCATTGAAATTGATTCATTGTTTGAGGGGATTGATTTTTACACAACCATTACGAGGGCGAGGTTTGAGGAGCTGAACATGGACCTATTTAGGAAGTGTATGGAGCCGGTGGAGAAGTGTTTGAGAGATGCCAAGATGGATAAGAGCAGCGTCCATGATGTTGTCCTTGTGGGTGGATCCACTAGGATCCCCAAGGTTCAGCAATTGCTGCAAGATTTCTTCAATGGCAAAGAGCTTTGCAAGAGCATCAATCCGGATGAAGCTGTTGCCTATGGTGCTGCTGTCCAGGCTGCCATTCTGACTGGAGAAGGAAACCAGAAAGTTCAAGACCTGTTGCTGCTGGATGTCACTCCCCTCTCCCTTGGCCTGGAGACTGCTGGTGGGGTTATGACCGTTTTGATCCCAAGGAACACAACCATCCCCACCAAGAAAGAGCAAGTCTTCTCCACTTACTCAGACAACCAGCCGGGTGTGCTGATCCAAGTCTATGAAGGAGAGAGGGCCAGGACCAAGGATAACAACCTGTTGGGCAAATTTGAGCTATCAGGCATTCCCCCAGCCCCCAGGGGTGTCCCGCAGATAACAGTCTGCTTTGACATTGACGCCAATGGTATCCTCAACGTTTCAGCTGAAGATAAAACAACTGGCCAGAAGAACAAAATCACCATCACCAATGATAAAGGAAGACTGTCCAAGGAGGAGATTGAGAGAATGGTGCAAGAGGCAGAGAAGTACAAGTCTGAAGATGAGGACCACAAGAAGAAGGTGGATGCTAAGAATGCCTTGGAGAACTATGCGTACAACATGAGGAACACAATGAAGGATGAGAAGATAGGTGCCAAGCTCCCACCTGCTGAGAAGAAGAAGATTGAGGATGCAATTGAGGAAGCCATCCGGTGGCTTGACAGCAACCAACTGGCAGAGGCAGAGGAGTTTGAAGACAAGATGAAGGAGTTGGAGGCATTGTGCAATCCGATCATAGCTAAGATGTACCAGGGTGGTGGAGCTCCAATGGATGATGATGACGCTCCTCCTGCCAGTGGTGCCGGACCCAAGATTGAAGAGGTCGATTAAATCAGGGAATCGCAGTTTGATTCCATTATGATGTTGTTATGTTAATGGTGCTGGAGTCGTCTCTTTTCTATGTAATGGGCTCTGAATTCATGTAGCTTTTGATGCTTTTGTTTCTAAATATTACTTCACACATCTTTTGTGTTCATTCTCTTCTAGTAATTAATATTAGTTTATTACAACTTTTATTAGCATCAAAGACATGGATTGCCACACTTTCCAATGGACAGGATTGCCACACCTTCATTCCCTATTTATTGCTTACTAACATACTCATTTGAAGATTTGAAATTTATCGACTTTAGCAATTTTGAAGAAATTTAGTAAAGACAGGTATATAGGACTGAATTAAATATTAAATATTTAATTAAAGGCAGAGGTAAGTGTATTTTCAATATCGCTACATGGTTAAAGACCAAAATTTTATACCTCTTGTATGAATTAAGAGAAATCCATTATTAGTGTATAACGACATTTGCATTTTTTGTGACAATTTACCTCTTCACCCAATACTTTAAATCATTAAAGACAATCTGTATGTTACACCATCTTAACATGAGTAACTGACTAACTGTTGTGTTTTAACTATCAAAGGTTATACATTTAAGATGATTTAAATTTTATGAAAAACAGAATAGTCTAAATACACACACATACGAGTATATAATATTTTTCTTATATAGTATTACCTCTGTGCCGATGGGCTTTGCCAACATTGAAGTAGTTGAGAGTTGACATTGTTTGCCTCTAAAAATTGATTTTTTTAAGCATCGGTCTTACTTCCCAGCAATAATCCCATATATGTTGCAGGCCTACATCAGTAAATTGGGATGAATTGCTGGCAGGTTCGTAAAAATGATGCCATCATTTTTTGGGTACCTGCATTTCGTTCCAACATGGTATTCCTCAAACTACATTTGCATCATGTAGGGACTTTAATTAGGTGTCCCTCAACTCATTCTTTAAACTCAGGGATTCTTTCTTCTTTAAATTGTAGCATGGATCCGGGGACCTAGATAAAACATACTCCCTCCGGTTCTTATTAAAGTTCCCAGTTCGACTTCACACATATTAAGAAAATGAATTTGACTTTACTGTGGAGTGCACTATTTGGCACTGTTTAGACACTGTTTGGTACTGTTTGGCACTGTTTTGCATTGTTTTGTTTTCTAAAATGTAAGTGTTGACTTAAATAAACGACATCCCTAAAAGGAAAGTGGGAACTTTAATAAGAAACGGAGGGAGTAGAACAGGTTTCATACCTACTTTAAATCACAGTTCGATTTTCAGTACGGAGTATGAATTTTAGAAAACAAAACACATCTGTTTAATGAAAACCCATTATGGCTCTCGTTGTTTTTCAATGTGTTCTTGTGGTATTGTGCTTCATAACTTTGTTAAACAACAACTTGGCTCCGCCAATTAGAACTGCAAAAACCAACAAAAAAATGTGAAATAGTTCTTTCTTTAATTTATTAATTAATACTTAGGTGTAAAAAAATATTCAAACACTCTTTTTATATAAAAAATATTATACTCGTATCAATCATTGTCTAACTACTATTTCAAATTTAATTTTTCAGGTGGGTGCAAAAAACAGGGGAAAAAATTGGAGCTTACACTATCGTGGATGTGGATGTTCCAATGCTTGCTGGATTGGCTAATACCGATGGACCTCTCTATCTAGAGAACAGCCGACCTCTTTCAAATCGATGAAACTGATAGCGATTCTGAAAGCTCACAGTGTCTTTAGAGCATTGCGTCAAACGGTTGTCATATCTCCTCCCAATGCTAAACTTCATTTCAGTTTCTGCACCCAATTTCCAACTTCATCTCTCGGTTCAGAAACAGAGGATGTGCGTAATGCATTCAAAGAAGAAAGTGAAGAAGAAGAAGAAGATAAAGAATCAGAATTAAAGAGCTTGAGTTGGAGGATAGAAAACTTGCCCAGAGCAGAGCCGGTTGGGCCAGCTTTCCAAAGCTGGATGGGCGATGGCCTCCCCATCCACAGAGGCCATATCTTCCATACCATAAACCGCTTACGCAGGCGCAACTCCACAAAACGCGCTCTGGAGGTTCAATTTCTATCTTTTCTCTTCGATTTCTCCCTTCCTATGATTGTACGCCAACTGTTTGACAAAATCACTCAAACGAATGTTTGCCAACAATTTGGTAGGTGATGGAATGGGTTATAAGGGAGAGGCCATACACGCCAAAGGAGCTGGATTATTCGTATTTATTGGAATTCACTTCTAGATTTCATGGAGTATCTCAAGCTGAAAGTTTGTTCTCTCGGATCCCCTCCAAATTCCAAAATGATTTACTCTACAATAATCTAGTGCTTGTTTGCATGGAAAGAGGGATGATCAGACTCTCATTAGCATACATGAAGAAAATGAGAGAGCTTGGCCATCAGATAACACATCTAGTTTTTAACCGGCTTATCATTCTCCATGCTTCCCCTGGACGAAGAAAATGTATACCGAAAATCCTAACTCAGATGAAAGCCGACAAGGTGACTCTGCATGTTTCCACCTTTAATATTCTGCTAAAGATTGAATCTAATGATCACAACATTGAAGGCTTGCTCAAAGTGTTTAATGATATGAAGCGATTTAACGTTCAACCTAATGAGGTAACGTACTGCATTTTAGCCACTGCCCATGCTGTGGCAAGGCTGTATACAGTGTGTGAAGCTTATGTTGAAGCTATTGAGAAGTCTGCAACTGGTAAGAACTGGTCTACATGGGACATTCTTGTTATATTGTATGGGTATTTAGGGAAACAAAAGGAGCTGGAGAGAACATGGGGAATCATCCAAGAACATCGCCAGGTTAAGTCTAAGAGTTTCATGTTGGTTATTGAAGCATTTGGGAGGATTGGAGATTTAAACAGAGCCGAAGGACTATGGTTGGAAATGAAATCAGAAAAGGGTTTGAAATCAATTGATCAGTTCAACTCGATGATAGCAGTGTACTGTCAGCATGGTTTGGTGACAAAAGCTACTATGTTGTATAAAGAGATGGGGGTATGTGGGTTGAAATCAAATTCCATAACTTTCCGGCATCTTGCTTTAGGTTGCTTAAAAGCCGGACTAATGAAGGAAGCCATGAAAACTCTGGACCTGGGGATGGATATGACTACAAGCATAAAGGTCAAAAGGTCGACTCCGTGGTTAGACACTACTTTGACAATAATTGAAGTTTTGGCAGATAATGGGGAGCTCAAAATGGTAGAGAAGTTGTTTGAAGAACTGAAGAAAGCAAAATATACAAGGTACACATTTGTGTACAATGCATTGATTAAGGCATATGTGAAGGCAAATGTTTATGATCCCAATCTTCTAAAAAGGATGGTGTTAGGAGGGGCCAGGCCAGATTCTGAGACTTACAGTTTACTAAAGCTCATTGACCAATTCAAAACTTGACGCTAATAATTGTCGGTGCATGTTTTCATCTGTCACTCATGTTATTTATCTTCCGTTTTTGGGTGATTGCATTGCTAATGGAACAATTGCTAATACATATTATGTTCCACCTTTACATATTACATTGCTGACAGAATTATATATTTTGTTTTTGCTGAGAGAAATATATTTTGAAGTGAAAGTTTGCTATTGAAAATTTGAAACGTTTGGAAGGAGTGGATATCCTATTAAAGATATTACATTGGACCGTTTAGTTTATATTTTGGGCTTATCCCTTGTTTTATTGGGCTTTCTTTAGTATTGAGTTGTATAAGGTATAAATACCTTCTATTATTTGTAATTAGGTTAACTTTTGAGATCTGAACATATGCTTTCTTTCTTCTTCCGCAAACATACTCCGAACATACGAATTCATCTTCTTCTGGTTTGATTCTTGAGCTCAAACTTTCACATGGTATCAAATTAGGAATCGATCCTTCATCGTCTTCCTAATTCTGTTCTTCTTCTTCGATTTCTATAATCGAATCTCAGTTTTTTTTCTCATCCCTATTCCATCGATTACTAAACCTAATCGCATATCATTCTCTCTGCGATGGATCGTACATTTTTCCATTGAATCCTATTGAAGATACTTCATCTCCTTACTATCTGCATCCTAGCGATCACGCTGGATTACGCATCATCTCCGAGACACTCACTGGTGACAACTTCAACGCTTGAAAGAAATCCGTCACTATGGCTTTCAGTGTGAAGAACAAGATGGCGTTCCTTGATGGCTCTATTATTCAACCAAGTTCTACTGATTCTGTTGCCTACTCGGTCTGGTATCGTATCAATGCTCTTCTTCTTTCTAGGTTGATTTATTCTATTGCTCCAGAAATTCGATCTACTTTCTTCTACTTTTCATCTGCTAAAGATCTTTGGGACGAGATTAGGCTTAGATATGGTAAAAGTGATGGTCCTAGAGTTTTCTATCTTGAAAAATCTCTACGAAATATCTCTCAAGGAACACAATCTGTTACTACTTACTACAACACTTTTAAAGGTCTTTGGGATGAATATGTTGATTTTAAAACTCTTCCTTCTTGTTCTTGTGGTCTCTGTACCTGTAAACTGAATGAAAAATATAAATTGTTACTTGAAAAAGAATCTGTTCAAAAATTTCTTGTTGGCTTGAATGAATCTTACTCTGCTTTGAGAAGTCAAATTCTTCTTCAAACTCCTTTTCCTAGTCTCTCTGCTGTTTACTCTTTCTTTCTTCAAGAAGAGTCTCAAAGAATTCTCCAAGTTCCTCTTAATTTTGTTTCTTTCCCTTCCAATTCTTCTAATCCCTATGATTCTTCACATGCTGACTCTACTGCTTTTTTGGTTAAAAATCCTAATTCCAAAAAGAAAAGTATCACATGCACTCACTGTGGTTATTATGGTCATTATGCTGATAAGTGTTTCCAAGTTATTGGTTATCCTCCTAACTGGAAAGGCCATAAACGATTGAGAACTGCTCCTGGTTTTAAACTGCCATCAAATACTAAGACTCCTCAAGCTCATCTTGCTCACAAATCACCTGAATCTTCATCTGCTGACATGGAGCTCTGTGATCCCACTCTCTACAACAAGTTTCTTGAATTTATGAAAGCTCAGAATGCTAATCATGCTACTGCTCATGTTGTTATGGTTGTCCCACAACATGATCAGTCTTCTAATGAATCCTTTTTAGGTAAACATTCTGTTTTCTTATCTACTGTCTCCACTTCTGTTTGGATTCTTGATACTGGTGCTTCCGATCACATGACTCATAATTTCAGTTTATATACTTCATCACCTAAACCTATTTCTATTAATGTTCAACTACCTACCGGTTCTTTCATCAATGCTACTCATACTGGTGATATTAAAATCAATGAAAACCTTATTCTTCACAATGTTTTATATGTTCCACAATTTAATTTTAACCTTATATCTATCAGTAGTCTAGTTTTACATGAAAATATTTCTGTTCACTTCTCTTCTAATCATGCTACTTTGCAGGATCTGCTCACCAACCAAATGATTGGCTATGTTGATCCTCAAAGTGGACTTTACCTATACAATTCCTCTCAGTCTATTTTTACATCTAATAAACCTTTTGTAGCTAATGTTGTTAATACTAATGACTTAGCTAATCAGTCTAATATCTGGCACTATAGATCAGGTCATATCCCTTTTAATAAACTCAATTCTCTTGTTGGTTGTAATCTTCAACATCATATGAATAACAACACTTCTTGTGATATTTGTCACTTTGCTAAACAAAAAAATTACCTTTTCCTAATAGTACTTCTTATGCTTTACATGCTTTTGATCTTGTGCATATGGATGTTTGGGGTCCTTTTAGAGTAGAATCTTATTCCGATTTTAAATATTTTCTAATTATAGTGGATGATCATACCAGATGTACTTGGGTTTTCATGATGAAAAACAAATCTGAAGTTAAATTCTATATGCTAAATTTTTACAATCTGGTTCTTACTCAATTTAATGCTAAAATTAAAATTATTAGGACAGACAATGGCACTGAATTTATCTTTCCTTCTTTCTATACTAACAATGGCATCATTCATCAATTATCTTGTGTTGAAACTTCCCAGCAAAATGCTAGGGTTGAAAGAAAACATCAGCATATTCTTCAAGTTGCTAGATCACTTTTATTTCAATCTTGTCTACCTCTAATTTTCTGGTCTCATTGCATTCTTACTGTTGTCCATATTATAAATAGAATTCCCACTGTTATTTTAAATAATAAATCTCCATATGAGTTATTATATGGTCAACTGCCTGATTATTCCCATCTCAGAGTCTTTGGATCTCTTGTCTATGCTTCTACTTTATCTGCTAATAGATCAAAATTTGATAAAAGGGTTGTTAAGTGTGTTTTTATAGGATATCCTCTTGGGTAGGTTGGACCACAGGCTTTCCTGGAAGGCAGGTACCCGGGAGCCTGCCTTCCAGCCTACCCGGAAAATATGGTCGGCCCAGTAACTGGCCTAGAGCCTCCAGCCCAGGAATAGTAACGGCCAACAATCAATGCGCGACTTAATTATGTGTTTAATTCTGTATTAATGTTGTAATTAATTTAGTCATTATTATGTTCGGCAGTTACCATTTGTAATCGCCTATAAAAGGCAATTCGAATTTCAAATACAGATATGCTTTTTCTGGCTAACTTTCCATATTCGTACTTTCCTAATTCCTGCTTGAGTGTCGTACGTAGCTTTCCTAAAAGCCTACGAGCGTCCTATTTTGGACCAACATTGGTGCTTTCATTGAGAGCCTCTATTGTCTCTCACATAACTGAAGTAGGAATCACACAGGAAGATGGCCGGAATCTCGTCTCGACGTGACCATGTCTCAGTCCACACCGAGGAGTCCGCCCGGTCTGGCCGCCAGCGTGCCCTCGACAACCATGCACAGGGCAGGAGGGCGGCGCGCCAAGGCGACATTCGGAACCAATTATCAGGCCACGATGACCTAAGGGCGACGCTCAACCACACTCAAGGTGAGCGCTCGGTCCGCAGCCGGCGGGGGGGAGGCCGACGTCCTGCTCCGCACATGGACCCGGCTAGACTCAATGCCGGGGTGGAAGCCCTGCAGGAGGCAACTCGGGTTCTGGGGACCTTGGCTCAAAATTTCCAACAGATGGTGTCTGGCGGAAATGTGGATGAGCCTGCCCGTCAAGAGACGCCAGCGGATGTGGAGGTGTCCTCCAGGCGGCGTGATGAGCGACGCTCTGGATCCAACCAAAACAGGGGGGAAGAAGTCTCCCATCGGCGGGGGGAAGAAGTCTCTCAGCAGCCTAGCCGACCCCATCGGCAGACAGGGAGGGGCGCCCAGCAGGGGCGCCCAACGCAGATGGAAGGAGGCGAGCCCTCTCGCCACTGTCACCGAGCGAGCAGTCGGACTGGCTCCACGGAGAGGTAAAACGTGGGGCCCCGACCTCACGTGCACGGACGACTTGGAGGTGCCGCCGGACATGCCCAGCCCCGCGCTGGAGCTGTCCGGGGGAACCCACCGCCGGCCGAGGTGGAAGATCTACGACAGCGCCTTGACGAGTTGAGAAGGAGGGTCGTCTGGGGGGAGCCTTACACGGCCGACCTCCGGATACCCGAACCCTTCACCCGGGCGGTCATGGATGCGCCGTTGCCGAGGGGCTACAAGCCCTGCGCCATTGAAGCATACAAGGGCGCTTCTGACCCCCAACATCATGTATCTCGGTACCTTTCCTACATGGTCATGATGGGGTATGAGGACGCCATCCGATGCCGCGGTTTCTCCGCCACTTTGGATGGCCCGGCTCGTGAATGGTATGATTCTCTACCCGACGGGAGTATCACGAATTTCCGTGAGTTGGCTCAACGCTTTCTCTTGAGGTTCGCGAGCTCCCGAGACGTCAAGAAAAACTTCAGCCACCTGTTCGGTCTAAAACAGGGGAAGAAGGAATCATTGTCGACCTTCCTAGCGAGGTGGAGGGCCGAGTCAGTCAAGGTTCAGGGCCTTGATGACAGGACCGGGGTGGCCATGCTCACAAACTATATCCGATCGAGCGAGCTTTACAAAGATTTCGTCAGAAGTCCCCCTACCTCGTACGAGGAGGCGCTCGGCCGTGCCGACCGGCAAGCCGAGGCGGAGGACGCCTTGCAGAGGAAAAGAGATGAGGAAGAAGGTGCAAAAGAAGAAAAGAAGAAGGAAGCCGGTTCGGGTGCTGAGAAAGCTGACGGCAAAGCTAGCAACAAAAACAACAAGTTCAGAGGTAACAAAAGTAGAGGCAAGGGCAAGGCGGACGTCCCGAGCGGACCGCTACAGCCCGTCAAGCAATTGACCCCACTTGCTCAGCCGGTCGGGGCCATCCTCGACTACGCGGAGGAGCAAGGTTTAGTCGACTTTCCGGAGGAGTGTGATGTGGTGACTGCCAAGCGCAACCACGACCAATATTGTCGATTCCATCGGAGAGCAGGGCATGATACAGATGATTGCGTCATTCTCCGGCGGCAAATTGAAGAACTCATCCAGAAAGGGTACCTGGGCCAATTCGTTGGCAAACAAGGAGGCATCCCGCAGAAGAGGAGCCTGACGTGGCAGCGGTCCGACCAAGCTACCACGTCAAAGGAGACACCGCCTGCCAAGAAGCGAGAGCTCGGCGCCTTCTCCGAGGAAGACGATGCCGACCTAGGGAACGGCCCCCGGAAGTACCATCGATGTTCATTCATATTCGGGGGACCCCAGGGAGGCGACACCTCTGGAGAGCGGA